AATGTCCGCGTCGCCATTAAACTTTATCAAAATTAGGGCAAGTAATGCAGAGAGGTCTGAATTATATCAGCAATCGTCTCTTTCTCATAACAATTGCGTCACATCAGTGACGGATCGTTCGGAATGAAAGACAAGTTGTCCTTGTCATCTTGTACCCTCTTATTTTTTATAATTACTTTATATTGTACCGATCATGCACATCACACACACACATCATGATAATACATATTTGTCGGATTATTATCTGAAGTTATAATTATGGTTGTTGATTGAACTTTGTAACTATCAAGGAAGAATTGAGATAACTAAAGTATGTGATAATTGCTGAATTTATACTCATAGGAATTTATACTCACAGGAATCCTGCCATACGTAAGATAAATACTTAAAAGAAAAATAAGATATAAAAATAGCATCTTTCTCTATATCTTTTCTATATTTTTTTATAAAAATAACATTCAAATCATTAAAAACATAAAGGTTGTTTGAGCAAGCTAATGTCATTTTATTTATGAATAAAGCTTTCAATAAAAAAAACCAACAAAAATTAGTCTCCAACATGCATTGTCATGTTGATCGATTAGAGTATTATGCTAAGCACCAAGAGACAGTATTTCTATAATAGTAATCGAGAATGTTTCGATAAAGTCTCTTTACTTAGGAATTGTTAGTTTGTTTTGCGTTTCATAACTTTAGAAGCTGATATTGCTTCATAGTTTGCGTAAATTGTAGTTAACAACCGTCTTTAGCAGCTGTACGTTAAGTTAACTGCTTTTACAAGTTCTATTATACGCGTAGTGTAAACGTCCTTTGCATATTTCACTATTCTCTAATGAAAGATTTTTCAAACTACTTTCCGATCGCGCAGCGAGCATTTAGTACGCAATTTCCTGTAAGAACGAGATGTTCAATCAAGGTCGTCGAGATCCATCTTTTTGATTGATGTTATTCAATGTGCGTTGCGCATATTTGCGAAAGAATTGTGAATCGTATATGAATATCACAATATATACAATTTGTGCAATAGGCATATATGTCATAATTGACAGATGTCTGTTCCATGTCTACGTCATGTCCGTTCGAAATCTATGAATAGGAGCATTCAAGTTGGGATCCGTGAGAATATAAGACTAAGGGGATGCGCCTACATCTATGAATCACGATCGACCTTCGCGCGAACGATTGCAAAGGCGGTTTAATCTTGGCTCTCAAGCGACGCGATGTAGTGGACAGATATATATTTTAGAGGATCGCGTACTCTCTTGTATCTCTCAGCGAGATCGATAGTACTCGCGAAACGCTTGCCTCTTTTGCTTTCAGAAACCGGGAAATATCAAAGATGTAGAGAAACACTAGCCGTATCTGCGCTTGCGTCATTGCTTATTCATCGCACGTCTATCGATGATGGGAGCCCTTCCTTCGTCCATAAATCGTGATATTATAAGCCGATGTTGTCTTGAATGTAGCTCGACTGCATCTATACCCGCAAAAGTACGAGAGGATTAAATAGATTGCTCGTGTCGGAGAAATCCATTTAACGCCAAACAAGGAGAAATCCAAGACGAGAAGTCTATTAGGCATTCAATATTAATTTTCATAATTCGTTGAGTTTGTACGAAATTTTAAAATTACTCGCTGTCGTAAGTTTTTATATTTTATTTTTATTTTGTACTTGATATTTGTGTACACATGTATGTATGTAATAATTAATAGTGTGGCTATAAAAGAATAACAATCCCTTTTCTCAAAATAAGTCTGTTTCAGAAAACACATCCATGTTTTATACGATTTGTAATTAAAGTTTAATTCTATCAATCAGTCGCAGTTACTTTTAAACATTATCACGCTTTGTATATATATCCTGGTTATTTAAAAGGATGAGGAACGAACTAAAGAGCACGACTTGATGAAGCACGATTCTATGTCTGTTAACTGGGGCAGCAAAATCTTGCAGCAAAAAATGAAAGCAGAATCCTCAAACAGAATTTTGCTTAAGTTTTGTGGTTGTGCAATTCCATTACTTAGACTGCTAATCTCTCCCTCCTTTTCTCTTTTTTTTCTCCTTACACATCTTATAATAATTTTCTTAAAAAAATTAATTTTTAAGTCAGTTGTGTTTTGCTATATATTCCACAAATTATAAATCATTTCTTTGATCAAATATTTTGGTCAAATTGAATTAATAATAATATAATAAAAATAAGCTTTTCCGCGAGAAAAATGAAAAAATGAAGACAGATTCGTAAAATGTACAATTTGTCTTGTAAATGCTATTTATTAATATAATGCTCGCACGTTTAAAATATTAAATATGACACATGCTAAGTACAATACATTATTATTATTACGGCATTATCTAGTTACGGGATTGGGGGAGGTAAGTAAACGTTAGCCGGTATTGCAAAATTATTCGTCGTCGTTTGTTTGTTAAATTCATCACCGACGATCGCGTAATTCGGTTTCGGTTTCGAATAAAAATTGCTGTAACGAGTGCTTGTAGTCGGCAAAGATTTAACGGAAAATTTAGATCGCGAAGATGGAGGGACCAATCTCCCAGGTGTTTCATAAAAAATCTTGTTAATGAAATGCGAATTTTGATTGTAACGAAGCGATGTGCCGTCTTCATTCCATCCTTGTTGTTCGCCTTGCCAATTGTATTTATTCCAAGGTCCAGCCTTAATGTTATAGCCACGCTGATAATGATCTCTGAAGAGCTTCTTTTCAGGAGCTACTTTGATGCGTCTTCATTGTAAAAAAGTAAAGGAATTATTAGCAGTGTAATAAAACTAATAGTGTTTGTAAAGAGAAGAAAAGTAGATGAAACGCAAATACAATAAAAAACGTATAAAAATTCTAAATTGCGTATTTAAAGTAAGCTTTATGGCATGCAAAAAAGTAATATATTTTAAATATCATAAATTTAGATTAATAATATGCGTGATGTTTACATGTTATGACCATCGAGTCTTTTTAAATATCACTCGACGCAGCGGTGAAAACTGAAAGCGGGGGAGTTTGATTATACATTTCCTGTACGAATGAAATGCTTATTATTAAAACTGGCCGTGTGTGACTTTCATCGTCTTATTTTATTATGAAATAATTCAGCGTTGAGGAGAACGTTAAGAGAAATGTTGCCGCAACATTTTTCGTACTTAACCCGCGAGAGATAAGAAGATTATGGTCCGATTATGCAATCGCACGCGAATACCGTGCGCGGACGCACAGTAAATAGGTAGGTATGTATTTTGAACAATTCGTTACATAATACGTGGCTCACCTATCAGCTTCCTCCATTGCTTTTGCAACTGCCCCGTTAATGGAGTAGAAACTTTGAGCGCGAGAGCAATCCACGGTATTCCACCACTCGCAAACCAGTCTCTCCTGATTGAATAACGTACCGTTCGGACAAAGGAACGAATCCTTACGGCCGCCGTGTTGACAGATGTGGAACGCCTGACAGTTGGTCTCAGGGTCGGCATAATAACCCGGATGTTGTTGCTGTTTGCATTCGAATTGCGTCCACGGAACTTTACGGAAGATCGGATAATCTATCCCAGCTACACCTGGGATTCCATTGTCGCCTGATTGATAGCGCGGATATTGGTAGTTGTATCGTTGATTGTAAATCAGCCGCTCGTTGGGACGCACATACGGATATCTCTCGTATGCCTAGTATATATTTTGAAAATACATTGCTATATACAATATTATATATACATAAAAAAACACTATATGCAAATATATATTTAATTTAAAGCATTTATCCGAGATAAATGTTAGGGATCAATTTTGTGACTCGCAAACAGTTTTAATCGAAGATTTTTCAATAAAAATATTAAAACATGATATTCTAAATCATAGAAAAAAAAATTTGATTCTTTTTGTTTAAATGTCATGACCTGAAATAAATGGAATCTCGATTTTATTTCGCAAGCAAATTTTATTTTAACCGACTTTTAATTGTCAAGTTTGATTTTATATTAATAATAAATAATAATAAATCTGATATAGCGCAATTTTTTATTACAAAAAAATACGTACCATGCAATTTGCAAAGATAAATATAAGAAGTAATCCTAGTTTGAATTCCATAATCAGGTTTAATCTGGTATCTTCAGCTAACAAAGTCAAATCAGAAAATGAACTCGGTCTTTATATAGTTCTCGGTCTTTATATAGAAATGTGAATTCGGGTACACGAGATTATTCCTCATTCAAAACGACGTATCCTTCGATCGAATAGATAAACCGACGAAGGTAATCTGTATTTCAGTAATTAAAAATGACGTAACAAAGCGAGATATCATCCTCATCGATGTAGCGGCTAAAAATACAATTCCTGATCTAATCTTACAGGATGTTAAGAATAAGAAATAATCCTGTCAAATCAATTATTCACAATGGTTAATTCGAGCTATGTCACGCCACTTTATATTCAATCAACATCTTAATATATACATTTTATATAATTTCTCTTCTTTTTTTTTTTTTGTAATCTTGCTGCAAAATCCTTATAACTCTTTTTATTGAATTTAACTTTTATAATAATTGTAACTTTTATAAGAATTTATATACTGTAACTAGATTTTTTAATATAGTTTCTTGTACGCATTCAAGAAATCTTATTTTGATGTCATTCGAATTGCGCCTGTTTATACTTAAGTTTACATTAAATACAGAAACAAGAATGGTCATCCCGGCATTTTTTTGTTCATCCTCATAAATTGCATATATTTAATTTTTTGTAGCACAAAATTTTACGATATTAATTTTATTATTAATATCGACTAATTTGGCAACCAAATTTGACAAGTAGAAAAATTTGTGAAACGATTATACTAGCTGAGAGAAGCCTGAGAGCGGCAATCTCGGCGTTCGATGATTACCACAAGCTCGCAACAAAACATCAGGCGCAGCTAATAAAACATTAATAAATCTATAATATTTCTCCGCATTTTTATTCATAATTATGGATCTAGCACGGACATGCACCAACCGACTGTTTTACCGTAGCACTAAATAGTGAATCTGGCTATGTAGTTCCACTGGCTTAGCATCGGCGGCAGCCACAGCTGTCTCACTAATCGCGCATCAGCTGATTCGCGCATCAGCTGATTCGCTCCTCTTCCTGTACATGTGTACATAAATAATAGGAGATTATTGTATTTAGTATCTTTTTTATTTTTTTTTTGTGTGCTGTTATTATACATATATATATGAACAATACAGTGTCATTAGCAAATATTAGAAAACTTTAAAATGTTTGTTTGTAAAATATAATAAAATGCAACATGTGTATTAACAAATTTTTTTATAAAAAACGCGCTCGCACATTTTTTCTGTTCTAATAAATATAGAAATTCTGTATAAAACACTTCTCGTGTTACGATTGTGTATTCTACTCACTATATTTGCACTTTATTTGATATATATATTAATTCACAAATTATAGATTTTGTTGAGATGGATTTTAAAACAAGTAATGGATTTTTTGATTTGTGTATAAATGTATCGAACGAGAATGAGAATCGTTTAAACGATATTTTATTAAAATTGTATCAAAGTAAGTTAACTGTGAGATAAAAGATATAATAAATTAATCTCAGTATGTCTGTATATTTATAAATTTATTTGTTATCAGTGGGTTATAAGACAGTGATGTTAAATCAAACTATAGAGGAAAGTACTGTTGATAATGATAGAAAAAAGAAGAAAAAAGGTGAAGAGAGTAAAACTGTGCCAAATATGGTGCCAGATCCAATTAATGTGGGCGAACTAAACGAGAAATTTAAGGGAAAACTATGTATACTTAACAGGATCACATTTATTTGTTCAGATCCTGCAAAAACACATACATTGGTATAATTTTTAGTAACATATTAATAAAACTTGTATTTGAATCATTTATTTAAAAAAGAATGTAATTGTATATTTTTGGAAAATATAATTTAAATAAAATACTATTAAAATACATAATTCTACAATATATATCTACTGAAAATAATAAATAATCTGTATAAAACTTTACATTAAAACTTTACTTTAATTTTAATTTTCAAAACAAAAGGCTTATTTATATATTAAAGCGATACCAGTATATTAATTTTATTATTACAGGCACAGTGCCCAAATTTGAAAAAATATCACTTATATGCTATTGTTCCAACTAAACAAGATATGTTGGAGGTTAGAACATATTCATATTTTAATATAAATTGTGATTTTTCAATGTGTAAATATATATTTTAATTTTTGTGTCTTATTTTATTAATTTTTTTTATTGTTTCTAGTTTGCTTGTTCACAATTAAATGTAGATCTTATTACGATGAGACCATTAATTTCTGGCATAAAAATGAAAAGAAAGCTATATCGGCAGGCAGTAGCAAGAGGTTTATGTTTTGAAATACAATATGCGGATCTCTTGAACCGAAAAACACGCGTAGCAACTATTCATTACTCTCATCTACTCCACATGTATTACAAGTGTATGGTAGGTGCATATGATGAAGTGCATACTACATGTGTGCATATATTAAATTCTTAATAACTATAGAAAGTGATTATCGTTGTAATAAATAAGAATATGTTTACATAATCTCTC